CATTCTTCTATGTTTTCGATGGGTCCCTGTTTTTTCGCGTTTCTGCTTTAGCGGAATTTGTCCCAATCTACGCGCCTGATTGTCCGTTTGCAATTCCTGGTGGTATGATTGCCTAGGGCGATGCTGAGAATCCTGTGATCACTTCCGAGTTCTTCAAAGGTGTTTTCTCACGTGATTCGCCCGGCGTTCTTGCAGAGGGTGAGGTCCGGCGTGGTGTCCCTGTGTGGACCTACACCGATTCGGGTGTGCGAGGCTGGCTCATTCAGAATGGTTAGTTCGGCCTTTTCGATGAGGTCGGCAAGGTTTTTTCCTTTCGTCAACGAGTGCCCATATCCCCTCTGTGTGTGTGGAGTGTTAAAATCTCCTCCAATAACAAGTCGGTTCTCGCCTGTGATGTTCATGAAATAATTAATGAAACATTAATAAGTTCTTCGAAACTATGCTTTAGGCCCTTTATAGACAGGCTGCTGTATACGTTTAGGACAAAAGTGCTGCTCTCCTTTTTGCTGTGTGGCACAACTTCTATAAGAATGTGGTTGATATCCGTGACTTGCTTCGTATTGTGTGGGATAGCATTAGCCCGTTCCTCACTAATGTGGTTACGACTATGTCTCTCCCCTTTCCTTCTGTGGGTTGTTTGTGGGTGGCATACCGGCAATTTCGGCGTGGTCGAATGTCTCCTGCAAAATGATCACGTCAGGTTTTTTCTTTTTGTGGTGATTTTGAATAGTTGCCCCGTCGATGCTTTTTTATGAGAAAAGGCACGGCAGTTCCACTGCAAGATGACGAGTTTTATTGTTTTGGTGCCCGCCATGTCTAAGAAATTTTCTTCTCTAGCTCTTCGAGCCGCTTGTCGTATTTTATTGCCAGCGCCTTACTCTCCGCCTCACTGTCGCTAAGTCGCACGACCAGCATCTCGAACATTTTCTCCATTTTGTTCGACAGTTTGTTTATCATGTCCCCGAGAACGTCTGTTTTTTTTTCCTGCTAGAAAAAAACCTCTTTTTCTGAGTCATTTTGCTCTTTGGTCTTCGTCAGTGGAATTTTTCGCTTGGCGCCTGGTTGCTGTGTTTCCACTGCTACCGTTTCTACGTCCTCATTCTCTCTCTCTCCTGTGGTTTTGGTCGCTGTCGTGGAGAAGGCCGCGGTGGCGTTCGATGGGGGCGACGTCTGTATCTGCATTTTCATGAGTAGTTCATTAGGTGTTTCCGGTAGTTCATCAAATTTTTTAGCTGATTCACTGTTTTGCTTTTTCTAGCTCCTGTCTGAATAGCTTGTTTTCCGTTCTGTATTCCTCTACGCGTTTCTCTATGTCTCTGTAATTATCCCTAGCATTACTATCATTGCCGGACTTTGCCGAATCGCGATTGGCCACTACGTCTGACCAGCCCACCTTGTCTGGCGTCTTCTGTTCTTCTTGCTGCTTCGTTGTCGCTTCGGGCGTCCTTCCCCTCGAGGTGGATCTCCACCCACTCCTGGTCCTGGGTCTGCTTCTGTACCTTGACCCCAAGCGACGAAGTCCCCAGGCTGTATCTGGACCTTGATGTGGGTTGACGTGCTGGTTGTGTGTTGCTGCTTACCTAGCTGTCCTGGTCTGGTGAGTCGGCTTCCCGATGGAGTTCTTCCTCGTTTCTCCTCGCAGCCCACCTTCGTGGCTTTACGAAGTATGGCGTCTTAAATTTAGCCCTGCAAGTCTGGTCTGCCGTGGGTGTGTGCGTCTCCGCAGAGCTTGCACTTGGAAATGCATTCATGGTCTCTTGTAGGATTTTTGGCCCCACACGCCGAACACAACCTGTCTGTCGGTCTTGGGCACACATCGGGCCTGTGCCTGAGCCTCCCGCACTTTTTACAAAAGTCTATTTGCTTCCAGTAGAGGGAAACTTTCATCATGATGCTGTTGAAGTAAGCCCACATGGGGACCCTGTTTCCTTCATACAGTAGTACCACGGTGGTCGTGCTCCCCAGTCTCTTGGCGTACGCCAATGAAGGGTTCCTCGCGTTTACCTGGGCATGCATGAGCTGATAAAGTGTGTACTTCAGGGGATTGTTGCGGATTATCCCCTTGGCCATGTGTTCCGGTGCCGAGACGTACGCGTTGGTCTCGTACTTCCTCCCGTTGATTTTTAAATCCTTGATTTTGATAAATTTCGTCGCCGTCTTCTGATCCGCTGTGCTGATCAGCAGGATATTTTGTGTAGGATTGGGGCAGATCGTGAAGATTTCGTCGTTGCTCACCCCTGCTTCTTGCCGTATCGCTTAGTCAAGGCTAGCTCTGCACGTGTGTCTAATGCTCAGCCCGTCTCTTGGTCAGACGATTATCTTGATGTCATCTGCAGGTAGCCTTGGCATCTTGCTTGTTTGTAAAATCTTGCTCACGATGCTCTTCCCACGTCTGCGCGTCGGACTTCTCGAGCAGTTGCCTTTCTGTGCTGTTATTCGCCAGAGCTCACGCGGCCCTTCGTTTTATTCGTGACTTCGATCCAGCCCTCCGCGTCGCCGTCAGCGTCTCGTCTCGTTGGATCGCTATCGTCCTCTCTGGTATCTATACTTAGAGTTTCCCCCACTTCTGCGTCATCTCCGTCCATTTCAGAGGTGGGTCCAATCCCTTGGCTTACAACTCGGTACCGTTGATCACCCTTCCCGAGACCGGCGTCGGCCTTGTCGGTGTAGGCTTAGCTGGGCACAGTTGTAACTCGGGTGGTTTTCACATTGAAAAAGCTTCAAAAAGAGTCTCTCACCTAGGTTTTTAGTGTAAAAGCGTTCGGATGGACACGATCTATCCGGTGGTGGTCGATTGCCAGGTATTTGACTTGATAAATCTAAAGAACACATTCATAAAAGGCAGAGCCAACGTGAAGCGCGTCCGCAGCGTTGCGTCGCCCGGCAGCGTCTCTCCAAAGAACACCTCACAAGCCGGCGAAGCAATGGTTCAAAAAGATCCGCTGCGGCGTAACGGCGCCACCATCCAAAGTCTCTAGACCGAAAAATCTCCAGAAAGTATCTTCCTAGGTAAGATTCTGTACGACAAATAGACGCTCGCACTAGAATCTGGTCAGTTACGCAGCTCCCCATAGGCCCTTGCTCTCCGAAGTAGCCTCGGTGGCCGACGCGAGAACTAGTGGCACTGCTGTATCATTGTGCTTCAACCCGCACGGGTCGTCTGTTGCAGCGCGAATGATGCGCGTTGTAGTCGCAGTACTCGCCAGTCATGAGAGCCGAGGCAGCCGAGATTCGCCATTGGCACTTTCACAGTAAACTCAACAGCTTAAAAAATGAAGATCTGTAAAACGTTTGCTCCATAATCACCACTGAAATTCAGGAGCCTTTCGAATAGCATAACTATTATTTATTTCTTTACTTATTTATTTAGCGACAGTCCACGGAACGCTGTTCTCGGGCGGAATCAGGTGGACCCTAAAAGATTCTGTTGGGCACTAGTTCGTAAGACATTTGAAGAATAAACTGTGCTAAACACGAGATGCCAGAATCTGAGAAGTAGGCAGTTCGAGTTGTTAGTCTGCGATTATCCTTCTATTCTGATGACTCGTCTTAAGCGTAGTTTCTTTTTCTTAGTGGTTAGGCATTTTCTTACGCTTTTTTCGGTGTTCGTCGGTTTGCAAAATTTGCCAACCAAGTGGCCACTCAACTATAATGGACACCCTATTTAGAAATCCAGTTTACTTGAAGTGGCAATTTTTTCTGAATGCGTAGTTATCAGCCATCTTTATCGCGAGAGTCTTTTGTCTTGATTGTAATTATATATCGCAGTTATCATGCCGTCTCTCGTGCGAGATGTGGCTAAAGTATTAGTCATCTTTCTCGAATACTTTCGCTGGGTTATTACCGAACACTCGTTACTTCAGCGATGCAATAAATGACCGCCTTAGCAAATCAGGAACCTAAGCAAGACATCTTTCATTCTCTCATTCGAAACTTTGGAGAACTTCTACTGAAGAGCCAGGGTCTCCTCCTTTTTCTTCCCTTTTACGGCAGCTACACGGGCAAACCTGTTTGAGAGGTTCCGAACATTTTGTTTTCTGGTTTTCACCACTTTTGCAGGCTTTCTGGCTCGCAGTGCCATCCGTAGAAACAGGCAGAGAAATCTAGTGGGCTGCTTTGTAAACACTGTGCGGTGTTTAGGGTGAAAAGTAATTGTGGGCACATTCTTGGTTGGCGGTAAGCCTCAACAAATGTTCAGGCTGTCTAACTCTTTCCATAAACTTTCCTAATAGGTGATAGTGTTCAGATTTCGCGACAGTTGCCTGTTTATTTCGTTGTGGCCGTTATTAGCACGGTAGCCACCTCGTTCAACAATACCAGTTTCTTTTAGTCACAGTTCTTGTGTCACAAGATACCTGCAGTAGAAAACACCGTACGTCGTCCTTCACACGTCATCATCGATTAATTCTTGGCTCCGAGAGGCGGAAGGCAACGAGATGTTCATGGCTTCATTGATCGCCAACGGCGTATAGCTGACGAGACGTCGGAGATGCGCTGCCCTATTTCATTTTCGGGCATGAGCTCATCCCAAACACACCACTTTTTTGGCAACCTCCTTGTCCTTGACGTCACATGTGCCTTCGAGATGCACTCTGGCAGACCGAAAGAAGGGGGCTCTAATGCCCCTGGTATAGCGTCCATTTTTCTTGAGGTAGAAGTGATTGATTTTCATATATATTTTGTTCAAAATATTTGACAATATCGTTCGCCTCAATATATCACTTACATACCTTGTTGTACTTGTGAGTCAGCCGCCTATCCTTGGGGTGCAGCATCTGTCCCCTTTCCTCCGCGACAGCGTTAAAGAGCTTGTTTCGCAGATATTCTTTCGTCGGCGTCAGTGTCGTTTGTTGTGAGCGAGATACCCTCGTCTTGGGTCTGACCAAGAAATTGAGAAAGATGCGAATAAAATAAAATGAAAAATTCTAGGTCTCAGAGGGGGTTGAACTTCAAGCGTGTGCGCGGCGAGCGGGTGTTCTGCCACACAGCCACACGTCTGCTTGTTTAACATTTTTATTCAGAAATAAAGAAATAAATAATAATATAACCACATTGGCCTACTCACCAACTTAGATGGCATAATAACACTTCATTTTTCACCACTTCATCATACACCTCTATACAATGTTGATTGATTGATTGATATGTGGGGTTTAACGTCCCAAAACCACTATATGATTATGAGAGACGCCGTAGTGGAGGGCTCCGGAAATTTAGACCACCTGGGGTTCTTTAACGTGCACCCAAATCTGAGCACACGGGCCTACAACATTTCCGCCTCCATCGGAAATGCAGCCGCCGCAGCCGGGATTCGAACCCGCGCCCTGCGGGTCAGCAGCCGAGTGCCTTAGCCACTAGACCACCGCGGCGGGGCCACCTCTATACAATGTGGAAGTTCATTCAACGTTAATTATATCTCACACACATATTACACATGGCACTTTTGGTGCATTTCTTATAGGTTCATGACACCCCCCCCCATATTTTCGCCATGGCATAGATTGCAACAAATAACCATTTTAAGGGGGTGCCTTCCCCGAAATAAAGCAGGTTGAGATGGCTCATGAGACTACAGTCGATGATGTGCGAACTGTGCCCCTTCTGGAGCGTCATGTTCTGCGCCAGCTTACTTAGATATCTTGCCGTGTAAACCGTAGATAAAGTATAGAAACAGAGTATGTTTGTACGTGTCCATTCATTTCATTTCATTTCATTTTTTTACTCTCAATCGCACATAGCTTTACAGAGGAGAGTGGGGTACAGAAAAAAAACTATAACCAAGAGCAAACATAGTAACATCAAAATAATAAAAAATACAAAACATGAAAATTCGATGTTAGGCAGTACAATGAATGTACGTGTAAGTATCATCAGAATGGGGCAAACAGAGTACAAAAATATATATGTACAATATACACTCCACGTGTCATCACGTAAGTAATTCTGTACTTTAGATGAGAACAAGTCGTGACTTGAAATGGAAACCATGTCTGAGGGAAGGTGGTTCCAGTCGTTGGATGTGCCTGGGATGAAGGAATGATGAAAAGTGTTAGTGCGGCAACTAATGACGTGTACCTTATGTTGATGATTTAAACGAGCTGAGCAATAGGCAGGAGTGGTAATGAACTGAGCTTTCAAAAGTGGATGATTGATTATCTTGTGAAAATATGAGACGAGATGCTTTGCGACGTGATTCAAGTGACTGTAGTGAAAGGCTCTGTTTCATTGACGTAATACTGCTAGTGCGATGGTAGTTAGATAGAATGAAGCGTGCTCCGTTATTCTGTACCATTTCAAGCGAGTGAGTCAAGTTCAGTTGAAAAGGATCCGAAATGGAGCATGCATAATCAAGTTTTGGACGAACTAGTGTTTTATACATGGTTAGTTTCACGGCTTGAGGGGCACGGCTAAAGTTGCGTCGTAGGTACCCTAGCATACGGTTGCTATTGTTAATAACATAGGTAATATGATGTTTCCAGTTCAAGTCAGATGTTATATGAATCCCCAAGTATATATACGAAGTTACAGACTCTAGATCAACGTCATTTAAGATGTAGTTAACAGGGGGTCCGGTAGTTCGTGAGATACGTAAAACTTTACATTTGTCAGTGTTGAGGTCTATGTGCCAAGTTCTACACCAGCTGGCAATATTAATAATGTCACTTTGCAAAGAACTACCGTCAGAGTTAGATGAGATTTCTCGGTAAACAACGCAGTCATCGGCGAAAAGGTGAATCGAAGAAGTTACAACATCGGGTATATCGTTAATATAAATAAGGAATAGTAAAGGGCCCAACACAGAACCCTGGGGCACACCAGAAGTAACGGGAGAAGAAGGTGAGCTGTAGTTGTTAGCAACAACGAATTGTGAGCGATTAATTAAGAAAAACTCAATCCAAGCAAGAATGCCGCCATCAATATTAAGGGTCCTAAGCCTATATAGAAGTAGGTGATGATTAATCTTGTCAAAAGCCTTCGAAAAGTCTAAAAAATGCAGTCGACCAGTGAACTCCGATCTAGAATGATATGTAACGAATGGGTAAAACAAAGCAACTGTGTTTCACATGAGAATGACTTCCCAAATCTATGCTGTGACGTGCTAAAGAACGATTTTGATTCTAGAAAGTTGACCAAGTAAGAGAAAATTATGTGCTCCAAAAGTTTGCATGGTATAGAAGTAAGTGAAATAGGTCGGTAATTAGTACCAGAATGCTTGTTTCCTGATTTGTGTAGTCGAACCACCTTTGCCTCTTTCCAAACGCGTGGCACCACACCTTCATTCAAAGACTGTTGGAATATTTTACACAGGAACATAGATGAGGCATGCTTAGTTTCTTTAGGATTCATGCGTTTATGTTGTCAACACCACAAGCAGAGGATATTCCGAGCGAATCAATTAGTTTTACAATTCCATGGGCCTCAGTCACTATAACAGACGTTGATGGATAGTTGCGCGCTGGTAAAGAGACGGTAGCAGAAGTAGACGACCCTGCAAAGTTCTGGACTAAATTTTCGTTCAGGCGTGCTGCACACATCTCGGAAGATACGGGAAGGCCGTCCGAGTCAACAAGTACGATTTCACTGTCGTTGGTATTTGTAATAGTTTTCCAAAACTTTGTAGGGTTGCTTACAAGCATTGATGGCAGAGTGTTAGATAGAAAGTTAGCCTTAGCATCCGAAACTGCTGACGAGTAAACTCGCGCAGCACTCTCGTAGGAGCGCCAGCGTTTCTCCGTACTCTGGAGTTTCGCAGCACGAAACAAGCGTTTCTTTTTGTTAGAAAGTCGCTTTAGGTATGTATTGTACCAGGGTGAGCAAGAGCTCACAGGTATAGACTTTAAGGGAACAAAGGTACGAGTAGGTTCGTAGATTTCGTTAACAAACAGATCCCAGTTTTCCTGCACGGTTCTATTATCAAAGTCATGTAAATAAGTGTCGTAAAATAGAGAGAGTTCGTTGTTGATTGCCTCAAAGTTTGCAGCATTGTAGTTATAGATAACCTTGCGTTTCTTAGTCGCAGTTGGCATGCTGTTGCGTATGTAAAAATGTAGCAGACAGTGATCGCTGAGACCAGGAAGTGAGTTTAGTGCATGAATGTTGTCGGGCATTGTTGTAAGAATCAAGTCAAGAATGTGTGATGAAGAATTGGTGACGCGAGTTGGGTTATTCACCATCTGCGCAAAATTAAACAGGTTGCAAGTATCGAGAAAACATTGGCCATTTGAAGAAAATGGTACGACTTCTGGTAACGATGACGCCCACATTATGGTAGGATAGTTGAAGTCACCGAGAATAGTTATCGAAGAAGATGGGTACCGCATTGTAATTTCATTAATGTTATCGTGAAACTCTTGAACAAAGCTGATGTCTGTATCTGGAGGGCGGTAACAGACGCCAAGAACAAGCGTTTTATTATTCACAACCAACCCGCACCATATCACTTCCAATGTAGACGTCACGTTTATAAGAAAGGACTTGAAACGCTTCGAAATGGCAAGCAAAGTGCCACCACCTTGTCTTCCATCTCTATCGCGGCGGTAAATGTTCAACGATTTGGAAGTAGTAAAAATTTCGTTATCGCAAACATGAGCATTCAACCACGTCTCGGTCACGGCAATCACGTCGGCTTCACAAGAATCGATAAAAGCGTCAAAAGCGTCTCGCTTTCCCTATATACTACGGATGTTCGTGTAGAGCACCGAAATAGGACGTGATACGATACTGCCACTTCCCCTTGCTGATTGTTATGAGGAGGCATTAGATGTCCGCGCACGGGACAAAAGTGCGGCATCAGGCAATAAATGTGCGTGAAGGTCATGGCTGTGATCAGAATTTGAGTGCGCCCCATTTTCGAGGCGGGATTCGCTGCCATTACTGCGAGAATGCGCAGTAGTCTCGCGAACGATGCCCGCGGAAGCATCATAACAATAGTTTCTGTGGTTAACAACGAGCTTGTCGTAACGAAGCTGAAAAGCGGGTCGGCCAGGCAATGATTTTGCATAATTGTGCAGCATCTTGCGCGCTGTTCTTGTAGCCTGACAGTAGTCCTCCGATACAGAGACTTTATGACTTCTCAACTTCGATCGACGTGCCAGCACAAGTTCTTTTGCTTAAAGGCTTGCAAATTTTACTATCACTGGTCGAGTTTTCTCGCGTATATATGGACCACCTAAACGATGGGCCTTTTCTACTGCATTCGGGTCGAACTCGGCGCCTAGGCTACTAGAGAGCAAGTTGGTAAGTGCCTCTTCAGTAGCTTGCCAGGTCTCATTTTTTTCGGGCATACCGAAAAACACTAAGTTGCACCTTCGGGCTCTGTCCTCGAGGTCGTTTAGACGGGACACCAATGCGTCATTTGTTTGAGTGATGCTGCCGATAGCTTCATTCGCGACCAGCAATTCCTTCTCAATGTCCGCAACCGAGTTAGTCCGCAGTTCAACCGTCGAAAGCCGCCTTTCAATCTCGCATGATTTGCTCGCCACAAGTTGCTGGTTGGCTTTCACCTCGTCGATCGCCTTTGCCAAATTGGACTGCTCAACGGCGGATGAATCACAGCGGGCGCTTATCTTAGAAAGCATTGCCATAACTTCTTTATGACGCGCATCAGAAGAAGCTGTGTTGTTCTCGACATCATCTAGTGGCCCAGGGGTCTTTTTTGGAGGCCCTGGGTTTGCTTCAACGTCACCGCAATACAAGAGTAGCGAGCAAAGGGCGTTAGTACACTCTCGCGACAAGACGTATAAGACCTGTGGGCGTGGAAGCAGCAGTAAACAACGGTTACTTGTCTTCTTAGCATATAATAAATCGATTTCACCAACCTGTATAACGTGAAAGCGAAGCTCGTAAGCCATTGCCACAGTTGTGCTGCCTCCACGCCCACTAAACCACTGACGTTCGCTGTTGCCGCTTTTGTTGCTTGATAAGAACGATGTCTCTGACGATGACGATTTCCCGAATGGCCTGGAAAGCTCAGGTGTGTCAGCGCAGGCACTCGGATCCGTAGAAAAGCCGCAGTCTTCTGGAAACTGCAGCTGTTTGGCAGGGGTGTCAACCGGCCTTCTGGAGTGAACCACGAGCGGCAGCCAGACTAAGACGACCTGTATAACGTGAAAGCGAAGCTCGTAAGCCATTGCCACAGTTGTGCTGCCTCCACGCCCACTAAACCACTGACGTTCGCTGTTGCCGCTTTTGTTGCTTGATTCTGGCTGCTTAATCAGCAAGGTCGTTGCCGGTGATACCGCAATGACTTGGTATCCACTAGAACACAACGTTGTGTTCTTGTTCGGTCACATAGTGCAACATTTCTATGATCTCCCGCAACAGTAGTTCGTACGACCCGTGAATAGGTGCCGACGTAAAACATTGTAGAGCCGCCTTGTAGTCGCAGAATACTGCCCATCGATTAGCCGGTTGTTGCTTGATAAAATCGATGGGAC